CAATCTGATACACTATTATAACCTGTACTAGGTAATTTAAAAAATTATATACTAGATGCAATATTTATATATCTCTGTTGTAAGACTAACTTAATCTTAAAATTCTCTCTAACCTATTTCTGAATCTTTTTAATAATCTAGTCCATATCTCAAGCCAAGTGCTGCCGCTATATTAGTATCTAACTCTCTATATATGATGCCAACGATAACCAAAATCGCAACATTTTTATAAAGGTGCTGTCATTCCAGTATTTATATCTCAAGTTACTTACTGCTACTACCAGGGATTTCTTTTTTAACCAGAACTCATTCTAGAGCCTGTATAACATATTTGTCTTTAAACATGTAGTTGCTATCTACTAGTCCATCTAGATTTGGTAAGTAAATAATGCCAATCTTTTGGAGAGTATAAGCCAAATCTCCACTTTTTATGAAAAATTTTGAAGACTGACGGACAAATGATGAGAAGTAAAGAGAGACTACTTGAGCTTCAAACCACTTTAAAAGAGTGTGAGTTTTCTTTTTTACAGTCAAGACCTACTGCCAAACACCTGCTTAATATTTTTTTAGTAAATGATAAACTCTGGGCTTGTCAGCAAGTAGTATATAAGAACTACCTCTAAACAACAAGTGCCAAGACTATGCAGTAAGTAATAAACTTTGAGCCTGTTAGCAAGTAGTATATAAGAACTACTTTTAAATAACAGGTGCTAACTTACTGTCTAGTATGTCAAATGCCAGCTTGTAAATTCTTTTTTGCAGTAAAATATTTATTAAAAAATATAGTTCAAGTAATTGTCAGAAAGAGTTCTTTCTAAGCTTATATTATTATTTTTTTTTTAAATTATTAGTATATTAAATTTTTTATTTTTATAAAGTATAATCAAGTTTTAGCTAATAGCCTATTGTTTATATTAATTAGGCTAATTATTTGAAAATATAAAAATAATATAGAAATAATATTTTTGATTTTGACTAGTGATAATAGAATTAATAAAAATATTAATTTTTTTTTAATAATTTAGCAAACTTGCTAATACTTTATTATTTAATTTATAGAGAAAATATAATTTTTAGCTCAAGTTATCTAAAGCCTACCTAAATTACAAGTATTAGCTAATCTGGTTTTTTGTGATACCAAAGTATCCAAATTACTTATATTTGATTTGTTATAGTAAAGTTTATCTCAATACCAAAAAAATCTTACAATTAAATAATTTGATATATTATTAAATAGTATTTATAGTTTATTAAGATTGCTTTCTTTCTAATCATCTTCTTTTAGCTTTCTGAGCAGAAGGATTCATAGTCTTCAACTAACTTATAAAAAAAAATACTAATACTAACAAAATATAAAAGAACAAAACAAAAGGTAGAAAAAAATCTGCTTAAGCAACAAGAAAACAAATATCAAAAACAAATAAAAGAAGAAGAAAAAAACAGAAAAAAACATAATCTATAAAAGCATTATTATAGTTCATACTAAACACAGTTGTAAAAATTATATACTAAAATTAAAAATCTTGTATATCTTTATTATAAAGCTAAGCTTTATCTTTAAATTTTTTTCTAACTATACTATTTGATTTGAATTAATTTGTTAACCAAAGCGCTGATTGGTTTGTCATATAGTATAGAAACATTATTGCTAAAACAATCTTGTGTTTATGTTTATTTGAAAATGAAAAATATAAACAATGCTAATTTTTTGAAGGAGGTAAGCTAGAATGCTCACTTTTTGTTAAAATTTTTGTAAAAGCAGCAAAGAGGTGAAGTAAAGAAAAAAAAACCACATATATAAAATAAAAGAGTATGAGTTTTTTTTACTAAAATCAACTGCAATTTATATCAGAATATGTACAATACTAGGTTTTTTTAGTAAGTAATAAACTCTAAACTTGTCAATAAATAATATATAAGAACTATTTCTAAACAACAAGTGTTGTGCTTATAGCAATAGTAAGTAATAAACTCCAAAAATATTGGTAGATAGTATATAAGAACTATCTCTAAATAATAGTTGCTGTTCTAAGATTTTTCTTCTTATGGTTTATAGTTAAATACAGCCAGTTGTATATTTTTTAGTAAAAACTTTTTTGAAAATTTTTGGTAAAATTGATTATTGAAAAAGTGTGGTAATTAAAAAAATAATAATAAAATTAGCAATAAATTTAAAATAATAATAATAGTAAATTATTATTTATTCAATTTTAATTGCTATTTACTTTTTATTTTTAATAAAAAAAAATTATAAATTTACATCTATATATAAATACAGATATAATTTATAAAAAATTTAATACAAAATTTAAAAAAATTAAATCAAATTAAAATTAACATAGATTAGATTAGAGATTAAAGTTAATTTAATAGTATAAATTTTTTTTATTTTTATAAATAATAATATAAACAATATTAGTATTAATATTAATAAAAGATTTAAAAAAACAAATTTTTTAATTATTAATTAAATATTTTTTAAGTTTGTTATTATAATATGATTTTTATTTTTAAATATATATTATTAAAAAATATTTTATTTATAGATTTTATTTTTTAATAAAAATTAAACTATAATCAATTTATAACAAATTTTTAAACAAATCTATTTAAAATTATTTATAGTTAAAAAAATATTTATTTAGGTTTAAAATATAACAATTACAATATTAAATAAATCTATTAAAAAGTTTTTTATTTGAATTTTTTAATTTTTAAATAATTTTAAAAAAATTTAAACAAAATTTGAAGTTATAATATACTAGAATATAAATAAAATTGTTATTTTTATATTAATAAAATTTATTATACAGTAATAACTATTTTTTAAATCATATATATATATATATATAATATATATAAAATATTATAAAGTTCATAATAAAAAAGATTAATAAAAAATATTTTTAAATATTTATTTGTTATAAAAAAAATTTTTTTTCAAAGATTTTACAAAGATTTTACAATATAAGAGATAAGATAATTAATAATCTAAATAAAATAATTCAAATAAAATAATCCAAATAAGGTTAGACAATTATTTATAATTTAATTTTTGTATTACTAAAATTAATTTGTTAAAACCAAAAAGAAAAAAAAAAACTTTAGAAAAAAAAACACTATATACGTACGCAATAATTACGAACTTATAATTTATTAAGAATTTACTAATATCTACAATTCATTAAATAATTAGACTAATTAGTATAAAAAAAAAAAAACATCATTCTTTAAAGAATTATTTCATTAAACATGCGCGAAACGTCACGTGTAGGAACTTTTGGAAATAGTGTGATGAATGGAATTACCTTAACAAAATAAAAGCTTAACAAAATAAAACGTCATTTATTTACATGTACACAAATATTAATGCAAACCAGAATAAATGCCGAAATAAAAAAGCTTAAAGAGGTCCAATTATCGGCAGCTGTCAAAATAACTACAACAATCGTAATAATAATCACAATGATAATGATAGGATAGTTTATTATCACTGCGCCAAAAGATTAGATAAAAATATTTTTTTTTTCTCCTGATGGCTTTTACGCTGCATGCATAATGAATGCTTTACGGGTACAATGTTAACATCAATTGATTTACGTTTGGAATTATAAACCGTTGGCGCTATTGCTATTGAAACAAAAAAAATTAGTTGTGGAGTTTATTAAGATTAATATAGAAAAAAAAGAGTCACACTTTGCCAAAATTAGTGTAAGCGAATTGTATGGGCGTATGCATGCATGTTCATGCACAGATTATTTGGAGTACATGTATGTAGCCATATATTGAACAGGATTAACATAATCCTGCCGTAAAATGTCCTATGATCCGGTCACACCACAATGCGTCCCTGCGAACAATTGAACATTATGCGAACGAAGGGCGAAAGCCGAGTAACGCGATCGAGAAGGTTGTCTTCTATTTGTATGACTATTTACAAGATTTAGCATTATTACAGGAATTAATAAACAATAAATAGTGAAACATAGATTATAAAGAGCAGAAACAAATCAAAAATGAGAAATTTTATAGAATAATTAACAAATAATTTTGAAAGAATAAATCTTTAATTACAAGATAAACAAAATAAGAAAACTTTGAAATACAAACGAAAATGGATTACCATAGAAGATTATGAGTATAGCATACAACTTAAAGTAGCGGTCCAAGCGGATTTACCACAAAAAAGAAAAGATGAACGACTAATTTGGTAATACAAAACCATGGGGAAAAGTGGGGTAGATAATGGTGGGGTATAGTCAAGGATGTACAAAGAGTGCATTTGGTTCTTATAATGGTCTATTGTGTCTATTGTTTGAATTGTCTTTTGACAAGCTTGACATGTTCCAGGTATTGTTTTTTACTTTTGTACAACACACACAAGAAAAAAAAAATTTAAAATTATCTGATTATTATTATGCGTGTTATTGTATAGAAGTAAATCAAATGCGGATTTTTTTTTTTTCTTTTTTTTCTTTTTGGACGTCAATGGGAAAAGATGTGCGTTTGTTTATTGATCAATGGATATATACGTATTTATTTTACAGCATAAATGCTCGTAAAGAAGATTTTATAATACTCAGCATATATAAAAAAATTTTTTTTCAATAATTAAAATTTTTTTTTTTTTTTTTTTTTTACTATCGACCAACAATAAAATGCAGGTCTTCTAACCAAAACTAGACTTTTTTTTTCCCAAGTGTTTATGAGGAAAATTTGTATTTATTCTCGACACTTCCCAACTTTTCATCCAGCATCCTCTCTTCCTCACATTACGACTTTGATATATCGTCAACCCTTAACCCTTTCTTTTTCGTTAAGGTGTTGTTACAGTACCTTGACAATTCTTTAGAAATTGTTCTTTTATGAAAAAACCTTCCTTGAACAATCCCGCGATTGTTATTAACGAAAAATAAATTCATTAGACTTTAAGTCAAAAAAAAAAATAAATTCTTTTTTGCTTTTTGTAAAACCTGCAAAAAAAAAAAAATCTCAAAGCAATGGGTTCACTCGATAATAGGAGACAGGTAAATTTATGTTCAAACACGCGTACATTACTTGATAAATAATGCTACCTTATTACCTTATTACCTTATTACCTTAATTACTAATTAAATATATATTTATAAATGAATAGCTTCGTTATTTTTCTCCGAAAATAATTTTTCATGAACCAATTCATCGTGACGAGTCGAGCTACTTTAACCACACGTACTATTATAGAGGTGAAGATTATCTTCAATGGAGAGACCGAGTTGAGAACATGTTAAATAGAAATAGTCGAATATGGATGTATGAAAACGACCGAGGTAAATATTTTTTATTATTACAAAAAATATATATTATGTATATATTATATATATATTATATGAGTTTATGAGTGCGTGAGAGTGAAAATAATTTATGATTGATGCACTCATATATAAACATTATATATAAATATATAAATATAAATATATAAATATAAATATATATATTTATTTATTATTTATTTATTATTTATTTATTATATATTTATTTATTTATTCATTTATACTTACATATCTCTATATAATATTTAAAAATCAATCACGATCTGACAATAGATGCTACACAGTCATTACCCACATCTCCTACACTTAATAATGCATTTTACAACCATCGAATCATCCCTCAAGGCATAGATGGAACTTTTGTAACTGTGAGTCCAAAAAAACGGCGAGGGAATTTACCCAAAGCCACAACTGCTCTACTAAAAGACTGGTTAGCTCGACACAAAAAACATCCTTATCCGACCGAAGAAGAAAAACAAGATCTTGCAAAGGAGACTATGCTGAATTTGCAACAGATTTCTAATTGGTTTATTAATGCAAGACGAAGGCATTTGCCTCTTATGCTCAACTCATCAAATTCTAAAAGCACCGGTAATGACCTAGATATCTATCCGTACAAAAATGCTGAAAAAGCTGATGGTATTTTTTTTTTCTTTTATCATTCTAAATTATTGCTTTAATTCTTTCTCTTCAAATTTACTCACCTCTTTCTATTTAATTGAAGGCGACGCCTCAGATATTAAATCTGCAAAGCGTCATGCAGCACGAGCATGCTCGCGGATTCTAAACGGTGCTATTAAAAAACCAAAACCAACGTGTAGAGGAAGGAAGTCTACATTATAAAAGTTTCGTTATTCTCCCTATTCTCCTTTAAATGATTTATTTCTTTCCCCTCGCAGTCATTTTCGTTTAATTACATTTTACAACTCCCACATTATATTTTTTTTTACTAATGAATGAAACGTTACATCAACTCCACTTATTTTCATTTTCTATTATTATTCGTATATCTTATCCCACCTAATCGTTTTATGAGATCTCAGAAAAAAAATAATCTTATGCTTTTATTTCACAACCATTGGTTAAACCATTGGTTATTATGATACTGTATAAGCTTTTTACCGGTAAAGAATATATAGATTATGCTGTATGAATTTTACTCATTATATGACATTCACAAAGATTCCTGCGATCAATCTTGGGAAAAAAAAAAAAAAAAATCGAACTTCGAAAAAACGTTGTGCGCGTGTTGTCTTGTTTGCTTTATTTTCTTTATCATTATTTTTTTTATTTTTTTATTTTTTTTTTTAATTTCTTTTGTGTATATAATTTCTTTTACTCTTCCGTATGTAATAAATATGTATATATTTATAGCTTTCCCCTTCCTCCTCTGTCAATATTATGATTTTCCACCCGCTTTTATATGTAAATTTGTACAAAAACCACAAAACATTTAAAATAAAGTAATCGTTGGGATGGAGGATTCTTTTGATAGTGCTGTATATCATTTTTTTGCAAAGTTCTTATAAATATACATATCATTATTGTCGTGATCAGAAACACGTATGTACGTACAGTACGTACTTATTTACAGTTTACATATATTACATATATATAATCATATTATAAAATCGATAATCGTAATAAGACCTATTTGCTCATTGTGTAATAATTCATGCATTATTGCGTAATTTGCAGTTTCGGTTTTATTTGATAGTCGTTTTTTTTTACGAGTTTTGTTAGTTCATTCGATAATGAATCCTTTAACGTGTATTAAAAGATATAATATCGATATTTTGAATATGCTTTTATGACTACGTAATAATATAATAATGCTGTATATATTGATGTATAAAAAGTAGATCAATTTTATTTTTATTAATATACATTGGCCAATCGCAGAAATCACGCTAGAATGCCGGGGTAGCTGCCGGGGTACTGCCAGGGTACTGCGGTGCATACATTTTTTACATTGTATTTTGATTTAAAAGGTGATTTAAATCACGTGCCTCTTGTGAGAATTATGCACCGCAATACCCTGGACACTCTAAATCACGCTTCAAAAAGTATTTTACTTTAGCAGGGATTTCATAATTTTCAAATTCTATTGGACGGTTGTAAATTCCGTTTCTGATTGGATAAAATAGATTTTTGGTAACTAACAAAACTTTGTGTAATCTGAACAGATCATTTCCGTAATTATCATGAAAAGACAACGAAAATAATTAAATATAATTTTCCAAATAATTCGTTTTTTTTTATATTATTATTTTTGCTTTTTTTTTAAAATATCTTTTATTATATTTAAAAATTTTTGGTTTATTATAACCTAATTTATGATAAAATTGAAATTAAAATAAAATTATAATTTAATTTTGTTTTTTTTTTTTCTTTGTTAATGTCACGGGCTAAAAGGTAGATCGACAAATCGGCGCAGCAAACTCATGACTTTAAGCAGATTGATCATCGGAATTCCAGATCGACTAGTGCATGGCTAAATAACGGAAAGATAACCTACATGAAATCCGAAGAAGAATTCCAAGAAGAACAAATGAAGATCTAAAGAGAAGAAAACAAGAATCAAGAATAATTAGAA